GATTTTCAAATACTAGAGTATGTGATGCAAATCAGTGGTTAATATTTTTCGAAATCATGTCTTTGATTTTTGCATCGTATTGTGACTTTTAGCATGTGCTTCAGTTCGTATGACAGTGAGAATTCATTATACTACTCGGTTATGCAAGTTATTAGAGAAAGAACACCTAATATTCAAGAAAAACCATTACGGCTCTTTTATTTAGAAACTTGAAAAGACTTGATAAATTTGAAGAACACGACAAATGTAGTTCGGCTGCAGGAAAGAAAAGCAGTTTTCTTCTCATTCTTCACGATTGGCTCTTTATTTCTTTTGCACTGGTTTTATTCTTGTAACGTTAATAACTTTAAAATTTTTCATAAAAGATACATCAGTGTCAGAGATAATCTTTAATAAGGAAACCGTATAACTCGTTGTTCATGCGAAGAAATCTAAATTCTTAAGTCTTTGAGAGGGTTCCTTGAACGTCAGTGAGTCAGGAAAAGATTATCGAATAGTCTTTGAAAATTTTTTCACGATGCTGACTATGAATCTTGATTTTTTATTTCAGTTTGCAATTAAAATTGGGAACTTTATTAATAAGTTATAAGCATTAAGCTTGAGTATATGAATAGATTTGTACTACTAGTCCAAAATGACTCGTATCGATGCACGTATTTTCTAAAAGTAGTATAGTAAGAAGTATAGTGTAATCTTCATATGAACCCGCAAAGACTCGATAAGCATACTCTGTTAGATGAAGCAAGATGAGCTTACTCAATTTTTGGATAAAGAGGCGCATCTAAGAACAGACATACTTCAATTTAAAATAAACTGTTAGCAATGTTCTATTTACTTTGGAATGGAAGCTCCAGTAGTGATTCCTTCGGTACCATTTGTTTTAAATGAATGATGTGCAGATCAGATGCTGGATTTAATAGTGATTGTACTTCCACAAAGGTTCCTGGCAACAGTAAAATTTCTTCCTCGTCGTTAAAATACGAATGAGCGCTTATATTTCTGGCATTTAATACTTCAATGGAAAATATAGTCCTCTCTCCTGTTGTACCCAAATAGATGTCATTTTCTAGCACGGCTAACGATTTTGTGGCGGATGAGAAAGCCCACCATGTAATTTGAGCTCCTTTCGAAAATTCATTAGTAGTGTTCTTTCGGACACCACGCCATACAACCTGTGCTGTTGAACATGGTATTTTAACCAAAGCAGTAAGAAAAAGTTTAAGATATTTCAACCATGGCAGTAATTCCTCTTGGTTACCTCTCCTAAGCGCATGGTTAAGATGAGAATAAAGACTTCCGCCTGTAGTACGCCACTCTATTGTGTAGAGATAAATTGAAGCTGATTCATCACGAGTCAGCTCATCGGGCGGGTTATCTGGAGTGCGCTCTAGAGCCATTGAAACATATATGAGAATGTCTGGAATAATGGGTGTTAACAGTACACATGTATCAGCAAGCGGGAGCATTGGCTCTTGAGCATAGCCAATGAAAGGACACGTCATTTCTCGATAATCGACATCTTTCATTAATAGACGAGCGTTTCTATGTCGAATTTGAAGATCAACGTCGTTCGTTACTCTCTCACGCAGCCCACCGTTTTCAGACATTTCCGTAAGTTTATCCATTGTGCTGAAAATAGTTTTGTTATCTGAAGCAAGAAAAATATCGATAGCAGCAAATAGATTAATAGTTACTGATAGAATGTTTCTACAATATAAGTCCAATCTAGTACTATTGTGGTACATTCAAATATGATTAACTGAATACCAAATTGACAAATGTAAGAGTAATTGACAAAATATCATTGCCTTATCTTCTACAACTTTTCTGGAGATACACAAGTTACTGGTAATTTTAACAGAGTATTTTCTTCTGTGAGAAAAGCCTATTGAAAACTGTTAAATGTAGAATACCTCGACCAATGATTATCGATTTCAGAAAAAGTGAATTTCGCTGGAAATGTTCGAAAAGATTTGTAAAAATCGTTTTATGCAGCAAAAACTCTTGCAACCAATGAAAATACAAAAGCAGTAGCCTGTACCGATATGTTTTCGGACTGGTCTGATGACTTGAGACTGTTGTTCACTGAACAAAACAAGAATTTAGTCGAAAATCATACTAAAAATTGGAACAGATTTAGATTCGAGGTAGCGTGACCGATCACCATCGATTTCTGAAGCTTTCTTGCTAGGACCAATCGGTTCACATCCACTGTGGTAAATATAAATAGTTAAGACTTAGAAATCTACATTGTGTAGTCAAAATTGTCTGCCAAATTTTCTATTTATACAGATGTCAGTTTATGTGTTCTTTGCATCAGAAATCATTTACATTGACAAATATCGACGGAATGAAATTCCTGAACATATTTTCATAGTTCTATTTTAACTCAAACAATCTTGGCATATCTTCTCGTACAAATCAGAGTAGATTTTTTCATCAACTACTATTGTCAATGCACTAGAAAGAAAATGACAACGCACTGCAACATCTATCTGGAAAATATAAGCCTTCATCATATAACTTCTACGGTCGGCATCTTAATGGGCAGTGTCGATATCAAGAAACCATTGATAATTATTAGCAGACTACAGTGCAAAGAAAAGAGAAAATTAAAGATGGAGAGCATCAATAAGTTACACGAACAAAATACGAACTGTCGAGTAATGCATCTTTTTGTGCTCTGCCTATGTCGTAAAAGAAAGAATGCTTCTTTTGCTAAATGTCAACAAACAGAAATTAGAACAAAAATAAGTCACTGTCTTACAACTACACACGAATTTTATGCTAATTGTCAAATTCAACTGGATGCCTGTGGAAAGGACATCTTCTTTGACGTAGTTACGACTGCATCCTTTGCTTTTTTCGCTGGAACCATTTCTAAAACAGAGAAAAAAAACAGAAAAGTATTCAGAACTAGAAAAACATGGCTCCGCAAACAGCACTTTTCCAGCTTTTTTTCAGAGAACCGAACTAGACCAGGGTTTTAGCAAATACGGATGGACAGCGATTGGGAACAAGCCAGAAACTCACCGTACTTGATCAAGTGATCGCATAAAAAAAAAGAGAATCAATATAGATGATCTTGACCATCAGAAATATTGGGGGAATGGAAAGAATTATCAGAGAATACAACAGATAGCATCGTATTCCTAGAAAGAAAACAAAAGAAAAAGCCATAAATAGGGTATGCTCAAACGAGACATCAACAAACCACCATCCACTTGTTTCTTCTGAATGAAGTAGGAAGTATTTCTCTTTATCTTTAACCTATAAGAAAACAATGGTTGGATCTTCACTTCGCATAACTCTTGCTGCTTGGATTTCTATATTCCTTTGTTTCCCTTCTCTCGTTCATCGATACTATAACAAGGAAAAACAAGAACAGTAGAGAAGCTTATGGGTTAATAAAAGTGGTGATGAATGTTCAAGGATGAACAGAGAAAAACCAGATATAATTATTTCATGTTTAAATAGAATATAAGAAATAGAATAAAGAAGTAACTGTTTTTCAAATACTATTCTTCATATTTTGTTAAGAAAGTTGATTTGCCATTTAGCAAAAGTTAATTGTCTTATTTTATTTTATTTGTTTAAATTAATAATTGATAACTATTTAAAAATTAATGAATTTATGACAAATGACATAAAAATAAAATATGAACAAACAAACTAGACTATTTCCTTTTGCTAATCTTTTATATGAGTCATCGCTTGTGATACAGAAAACGATTAAATGTGTGTCTAGCTATTACTATTACAGTCTTGTTTTTCGGTATCATTATCGATGACTAATATAAAACAAAAGAAAAAGAAAATAGTCTAGTTTGCTTGTTTGTTTTTATTTTATTTTTATATCATCTGTCTAAAATTTATTGTCTGATGAAGTATCGCATTGAGATACAAAACGTCACTAATTTTTTATGTTTGTAAATTATTAGTTTAAATAAAATAAAATAAAAAAACAAAATTAACTTAAGTCAAATATTAAATACTATTCTTAGCTGCTCACATTTTACACGCATTCATTCGTGCTCGACAAATAAATACGAGAAGACATAACTTGTAAATTAATACATAAGGCATCACTCAGAGAATAATCTACAGATAATAATTTTTTTAAAGTAAATAACACTGAAATACATATTTTATTATTTTATTCTATCAAACATATCAATGATATGAAAATAATAACTATTTTAACTTAATTAAATCTAATCAAAAATTCAAAAAGTTCATTGAGTTAATATGATTGATAATTACAATTATGATTGATATTTATAACTCAATGAGCTTGTTAATCGAAAAGGGGATCAAATTCTAACTCAAAAGTTATAACTCGAGCTACAACTCGACTAGTTTTAACTCCCACATTGGCTTCAATGTTTCAATGTATATCTATATGGATATGTATTATCATAAATAAATATAGATACAAATATAAATCGTTATATGTATTTATTTACATATTCATACATCTCTCTATGTAACTTACTCTACATGAATTTCTTTGCGAATGTTTGTGTCACTGCAGTAACAAGTTGATGTATGTAGACGTTGTAAGCAAAATTGGAACTCTAACATTGACGTGACACTTATCAGTCAGGACTAGAATTCCAGTTTTGTTTGGGCAAAATTAGAATTCGACTAGAAATAAATTCAGACAATCAAAACAATTAAAAGTTGAATAGAATAACTTTTTTTTATTCAACAATGTCTTTTTATTTCACTTAACAATTTATAAGACAAAATATTTTAATCTATTCGCCCATATTGGTGCAAGCACCTCGTTTCGAATGGCATGTTGTCGAACTAAAAACTCCCTTTTTCTGCGTGAACATTGTCTTGTAGGACACTTACCTTTACAGCCGCAACTGCAACCGGTTATTGCTGCACGTACATAAAGTTTACATGCTTCAATAAATATTATATCTTATAAATCATCAAGAAAAATATATTTTAATTCTTGTAGACAAGCCAGTTTTAAATCAATAAGATGTTCAACCGAATATGAATTTTCCTAATTCACTAAATAGACAAGCTCGTTTAGACGTAATTTTTTCATTCTTTTCAATTCTGTCGACAATTAAACATGGTAAAAGTTTAGCATTGGTATTTGTTCTATTAACTGTATTAATCTTAACGTCAACACAATCATTCCAATAAAATTTTTGTATTTCATTAATTATACTATTTTGGTAATGCTTCATTTTCTTATTTGCCACATTCAAATAATGGTCGGTAGCTACTTTTCGTGCAAGATCATGTTTTGTTTGTGATGGTTCATCTGATAGTGAATGTGATGATGAAATATCAACTAATAAATTTGCAACAGTATCATCAGATAATTGTTGAACAAGTTGAATAATATCATTGTCAATGGCATCAGTACAATCATTAAAATCATCTTTTTCATCACACATAATATCACCATTTGAATCAACAACTGGTGTTGGTAAATTTTCTCCATCAACAATACCATTTTCTTTAACGATTTTCCAAAAATCAGAATCAGAACGAGATTCTTGTTTGAATATAACTTGATATGAAGTTGTTTTAGTGATAATCGATAATCTAGTATTAATGCCATAAACAACAGGTAATAAACTATCTGACCAATGCGAAGCTAATACATTAATGTTTCTCTAATTCTTGATAATAAAGTGATTCATCATTATTTATCTGGATGGCCGTTGAATCCGATTCTGACATTTTTTGATTCAATTGTAACGTCTACATCTATATCTATACGGTTACAATTAAGTTTTTCTCTTTTTTTCAGTCCACACTACTTTTGATAAAGCACGTGATTGTCTGAATTTGCCTTTAGTCAAATTCTAATTTTGCCTACACCATAGATGTGATCGCTGATGCATGTCTAATCATTATTCTTACTTTTCGAATATTGAAGCATGACATATTTCAGTTTATTGTAAGAAGAAAAAACAAATATCAGTACGCTACTAATAATAGATTTTTCTTTCGTTCTATCGGATACACACTCCAATATTGCATTTATGTTCTTTCCTTCTCTCATAAATTGTTTTTTTTTCTTCCTTTGGGTAGAACATTTTCACACGCTGTTACGTATTAGTCATATGAGATAGGACAAAACTCACACCATTAAAAAAAGTCATATTTATTACATATAACGCTGAAATTGCGTGATACTCGCCTATAACGCATTGAATATAACATACTGTTTTTCGTTTTTACTATTCTGTTGTACAAATTCAGACGTAATAGATGAATCATAAGACTCTAACGTAAACTTAAAATTTTACTGCTGCTCAAATTCGATTTTATTCTTATACGATAATATATATCAAGGCCATCATTCTATGACAGCAATTTATCTGCTCCCAGATCATCTATCCGCAGAATCAGACGCTAGGCAAAAATTCAAAATTTTTACCTATGAGCAAGATTAAATTTCCATAGAATCATTCTTATGATATTAGGTAACAAACAATTGAATTCTATTATTTACCACATCTATGGTATTACTAAAATAAAGAACTATCTAAATCTGACAAATAATGTATTTTTTAGGAGTTTAGATAATTTATAAGTACTTTTTTCGATTACAATCTATGAAAGCTTATTTGTTTACTTAAATACGTCTATATATACTTAGGACAATCCAAAAGTAGTGTGGCGTCGTTACTTTATTTCCGTATATAAAGCTTGAAGAAATTTTCTTTTTCTATGTAGTGAGAAAGAAAACGATACTATATTTTTCAGTGCTATTTTATCGCTCTTGAACTAACATCAGAATAATAAAATTTCAATAAGAACTGTTTTTGTACAAAACTTAATTATAACATTAGATCATATTATCATCCATGTGTATTCTCTTTTCGTCTTTGTTGCTTCTTTTTTCTCTTTTCTTTTCTTTTCTTTTCTTTTCTCTTCTTTCTCATGCTGAGCCCTTCATACATACATGTGTATACCAACACCTGTCTTGTTTGTTTTGTGTGAATGTATAGTTTATTCGTCTATTTTCAAGAAAATCGAAAAAATAAAGTTTGATTAAGCTTTAACACTGTTCACTTGTTTCAGAGAAGTACGGAAAGCTTTCGCTTCTACACCAAAATGTGTACCGCACTTAGCATTCAGGCAAGAGTTATTCATGATAAATGATATTCTGTTCACGGCGATCAAACTTCTTCTCTCAGAACAGTTGAAGAATGGTCTAAACGATTATGTGAAAGTCGAGAAGAATTTTAAGATGAAGCACGACAAAGCAGATCTATTATTGTAACAATGTCTCAAAATATTGAATAGGTTTACCTTCATATTGATGATGATCCTTATACTACAATAGAAAAAGTGGAAGAGTAAATTTATCTAAGTTTCGCCAGCATTTAGCAACTCATCTCCGATCATTTAAAGCTTACGAATATTATTGCTGATCATATATCTAAGCATTCAATCGATTTTCAACGGACTGAACGAGTTCGAATATGTAAACAAAATTTGAAGAAGGAAGATGCCGCTTATGTCTTGTCGAGACAAATGACAAGTCATGGTTTTATCATAAGCAAAATGGATGAAAGTCATCAAATTATGCGTGGGTAGCAAGATGAGATGCTTTGCCTGCCATATTTCAATGGAGTATGTTTGCTCCAAGAAACTTATTTTTCATCTTTTTTAAGTTAACTGGCTCTGTTCTGATTCATCACGTAGAACGGAAACAAACGGCTGGCCATCAGTATGATAATTATCAACTATTGTTTGCAAACTCTCGTCGACTAAATCAAACATCAACGACTTTCATTTGACACCCTACATTAAACTTCGCCACGACAATGAAAGATAACATATTCATAAAGATGTGGCCAATTATCTTGAATCGTAGGGTATCAGAATAATACGACAATCATCTAATTCCCCTGATCTGACACCATGAGAGGTTTAGTTATTCAATTTAATTAAATAGAATCTAAGTGATGAAAACGATGCCGAATCATTGTAGGGTGCTGTAACCAAGTTCATGTACTCGTTAAATGAAGAAGAGTATAGAAAAATCTCAAATAAATGGATTCAACAAATGCAATTGTGCGTGGCTAACCAAGATGATTATTTTGAACATTACATGAAATAAAAACTTCTTGAACTTGTTTCTATATTTCTTTTTTATTCTAAGACCATTACTTTTTTTACGTTCTATTATGAACGGACGGCTAGGTATTAGAAGAGACAAAAGAAAACAGATGAAAGAAAAGTGAAGAGAATAACAAAAAAAAAATAAAAAGAGAATACACATGGATGATACTATTATCTACTGCTATAGTCAAGATTTACATAAAGTTTTATCGAAATTTTATTATTGTGATTATGGGTGTGGGTGTGGATATGTTTGTTCTTTTCCTGTACACCATTCACTAACATCCACATCCACGGAAAGTTCCAATGAAATTTTCAAAGAAGCAGTCAGGAAGAACACTTGATGGTTTTAGATAAATACAAATAACAAAAAAAAAACGAAAAGGTTTGAGTAAACGAAAGACTCGCACATATATTCAGTCTCATCTGAATCATTGTAATACATGTAGAAAACTTAAATTTTATCTCATTCATGACTTACACCAAATAAATTAAAGAAAGATCAATTTTTATTTGATTCAATTCTGTTTCAAAATGAAAATAGCTTAACACATGAATATTAAATTCTGATTATTTTTAATTTGTAGCTATAAGGTATGATATTGCAGTAATTTTTGATAGGTTGCCATTCATCGAATCAGTAGGATAATCACAACAAACTAGACAAGAAAAGTATTCAAGTTAAATTGCCAACAGAATATCAATTGTAACGCGCTTGTACTCTCAATCAGTGTTATCTAGTTTCACTTTACTGAAATTTTCGCCAACTTTGAAATCTTTGAATATATCTAGATGCTTCTACAGAACATTAGAAAAAAATCAATTTTTACGTCCAGAGAGTTTTAGACAACTGAAACTTTTCGGATTAGACTCCTCGGTTGATTATTAATTAAACAGTACATATGTTGTATTCATTAATTGATTATACTGGCATACTTATTGGTTAAATAAATGACGAATATTCTCTGAATTATTTATTTCTTGTATTATTTTAATGATTTTTCGTAAAAGTTCAATCATTCGAGTTTGGCAATCAATAAAACACAAAATTACTTAGGTGATATCAAAAGTAGTCGCGGAAGCAGCTTAATTCCGTATAGAAAGCTTGAGGAAATTTTGTTTCAATATGCAGTGATAGTAAAGCTACTGCTCTATTTTTCTATGATATTTGATTATACTTCAAGAATAAAATTTTGATAAAAAACTGTTTATAATATGTAACGATAGAACTACCAGGAAAATATCGAATAAAAATGTTTTAAATTTCGATAAAAAAGACAAAGAACTGCGTTTTTTTTTCGTTGGAAAGAGAAGATGGAGACACATTGAATTGTATATTTTAACCATTTCTTATATGAATTCTGAAGTTTTTTCAATTAGTTTTCTAAATGTTGAAATGATGTTTATTTTTTATGAAAAACAGAAAAAGCCAAAAAGTGATTTATTAATACAGTAGTGGTTAGAGAACCCACTCATAGAGTCGACTAGAATACCGATAATTGCCGAATGACAAAATATAAGCCACTGATATTCTCGCAGTTTCTTAGATCCTTAAATTGATGGTTTGAATGCACACCCTATAGCTCAAAAATTCTCTGTAAACAATCCATGGGTGTACGTTTGTTTTCAAAAAGGTCATTGGAAAAACCCTGCAATAGACGGTTCGGCCTGTTTTCATTTCTTCTTTCCAACGATTAAAGTCAAAGCTCTCTATTTTGTTTCTATCAGAAGTTATTCAAAACACATTTATGCTTTTTTTACCATTATAATCCTATCGTTACAAATAATAACAAACAGTTCGTTGTCGAAATTTTATTATTGAAGTACGATGAAATATCGTAGAAAATGGAGCAGTATTTTTCCTATGAGTAGATATGGAAAGAAAAATTTTATCAAACTGTCCATAACTACGCAATTAAGCTATCTCCACTGTTAATTTTGATATGACCTAATTAATTTACGTACATTTTCATATAAATCATTTATTATATCAATAAATGAAAATTACTCTTAGAATTGATGAACTGTTCTCTTGTATCGAAAATTTTTTTATATTGAAAAATTATTTGTAAAACTTAGAGATTTTACTTGTTCTAATAGAAAAAAATTTCATGTTTATGTAACATACTATATAGTACATAATTATTTACAAAATATATTATAAATTGAGAAACATAAACTGATTCGTTCAGATTCACACTTTTATGATTGACAAATATTCAGTAAGAAAAAGTGAACTCGAAGAAATTCGTTTATGATGAAACTAAAAATACAAATTCTATTTGTTCAATAATTAGTTAGTCAATTTTCAGAGCTGATCAAGTCAAGTGAAGTCAGACTCGACTTGACTTGCGACTTGAAAAATCTCTGACTTGTTCAGCTCTAATCAATTTTCTATTCTATTTTTTTCGAAAAAATTGTTTTTCAATCAAGTACAATAAGTTTGAATTGTATAAATCGAACAATTTTTCAATCCATATGCAAATAAAAACTTATTCATAGAAAAATCTAATTTTCTTGGATATATTTTTATAAACCGGACGGATAGAATCTATTGAGTTCAACATGTTCAAGGAGACAATGCAAGTCCCCGTTGATAACATATGACACTCTGTTTTTCTTATAGTAATTTTGTTATTAATAATGTATGCACTACAAGTAGTTTGTATGAATTATATAAGAGCAGGATCATTTGGATCAGTCAAGAAAATACTTTTGCTTTATGTCACACAGGTAAAGCATAAATATGATTCTACTTAGGAGCCGACTTGGTGTATATTTTGTATAGAACAATTCGTTTATTTGTTTTATTCACAGTGATTCAAATATCTCTCTCATCTATTCTAGATGGTTTCTAGTGGTGTTGTATTTTCGATTTTCCTTCATCATCTTAAAACGTATATGGTAAATCTGGAAGATAAAATAAGGTTTTTTTCTTTATTTGGATTGCTTACAGATTTTGATACAATGAACATATACATAGCAAGCAGGATAAATGAAAGAGCAATTTGGAGAATTATGATTAAAAATAAATTGTCATGAAAGTTAAAAATGAATACCACAGATAAAAATAGTCAAGTTTGGATGACCAGCGGATTTATTCCACTGTTCAGAATGGTAGAGAGACAATGAGTAAGAAGAAAGATCATGAAGATGTTGAAGGTGCTGATTGCTGAGTGTTTAAATTCATTTGTTTAACAATATCCAGTGCTTCAATGATTGTTGGTGGATGTTATTTTGCTGTGCGTTATAACTAATTTTTCTCCTGTCGTTCTACATTTTGATTGTTGAGATTTTTGAGTTTCTTGCTGTTGAGATACAGCAGAAGCTTTAGTTGAAAATTATTTTTCTTGTGTTCGTGTTAAAATATTTATATAAATTTGTTCAGCTTCTCTATATGTTTGTTTTGTTTCAAATAAGTTGATGCAAGATTGTTTTTAGTTTTAGCTACATTTGGATCATCAATACATAAAGTATTTGTATTAATATCAATAGCACATTTATAATATGATTCTTTTTATCAAAATTTCCTTGATTTAGACAAAGTAATGTTAGGCATATAAGTTGTCTAGCAATATCGGAATGTGCTGATCCAAGAGATTTTTCGCGGATTTCAAGAGCGCATTTATATAAAGTGTTTGCTTCTTTAAATTTATTTTGTTTACCTAGATCAAAAAAATTAGTATTGTAATAGATGGAATGCATTGATAAAAGGTACTATAAAGAACAGCTAGATTATTTAATGTAGCTGCTACAGCTGGATGATCAGGTTCAAGTATTTTCTCGCGAATAGTTAATGTATCTTTAAGTGAAACATCCACTTCTTTAAATTTTGATTGATCACTATAAATAAGAGCAAGAACATTGAACATTATAGCAACATCTAGATCCATAGAAAAATGTTTAAAAAGTACATTTTATAGAAAGGACTTATACTAGATTTAAATATAACATATAATGATTCTAATTTTGTTGTAATTGAGACTTTCGGTATATAAATTATTGAATTTCTTGATATTAAAGATTATTTGAGATAGTCCTTAGGGCAATCCAAAAGTAGTGGCAGAGGTATTTTAATTCCTTATGAAAAGCTTAAAGAAACTTTTGCTCCATATACACTGATAGTAAAAATCGACGCTCTATTTGTCCGTTCTATATATCATTCTTCAAGTAATATCATAATAATAAAAATTTTATAAGACCTGTTTTTCTTTCATATATGACAGTTATACTAATGCCCGTTTAGTAGATACTTTTTTGAATAACTTTTGATAGTAACTACGTAGATAGAGAGCTGCAGTTTTCATTGTTCGAAAAAGGAAATGAAGATGTAACAAATCGTATATTGTAGATCTTTAGAACATGATTTTTGCAAGGTTTCAATCGATCTGATTGAAAACAAACCAACTCTGCGAAGCGTTTACAGCGAATTTTAAATTGTGCAGTATGTATTGAAACCGTCAATGGAAGATATACAAACTGCACAAGGTTCAGATTCTTTGAATTCATCAATCATGAATTAAAGGTAGTCTAGCCGAAGCTCTAAGTGATTTTTTTGATAAATGTTTTTTTTTGCTGTTTCCTTTTTCCTAAGAAACCATTTTTTCCACTCTTAAAAAAATGATCAAACAAACTTCAGACAACATTTCAGAAAAGACGTATAATATACGATTTGATACATCTTCATTTCCTTTTTCGACCAATGAAGCCCACAGCTCTATATCTTGTTTCTATCCTAAAATTTTCAAAAAAGTATCCACTAAGTAGGCATTAGTATAACTGTCACGTATGACAAAAAAACAGTTCCTATCAAAATTTTATTATTATGATGTTACTTGAAGAATGATGTAATAGCACAGAAAAATAGAGCGTCGTTTTTACTATCAGTGCATGTGGAGGAAAAATTTCTTTAAGCTTTTCATAAAGAACTAAAATACCTTTGCCACTACTTTTGGATTGCCCTAAGTAAATACTGTATTTTCATTTTACATTGATCTGATGATTTATAAGGGCACTTGCTTAGAAATAAGAAAAATCTAATTATTTAGCTTAACAAAAATACAAATGTTTTGCGATTGTTTTTTTACACAGTAGAGATTTTCAGTAATGAGTTGTCTCTCTTTTCTTTTGAATTATTACATGTTTATTTTATAGAAAAGACAACAACTTCCTGGATTTATAAGAAACTAAGCTGAGAGACGGAGGACGAAAACGACACTATGCGGAGGATTAGCTAAGGATGAACGTTGACTCTTCGGAACTATGACTCTCTTCTGATACAGTTAAAATGCATTATATTGTAGCAATAGACAATTTCAGATAAATTCGACGATTTAAACAAATTCAATAGATCTTAATAGTCCCTCGAAAGATAAAATGAGTGTCATGATTTTTCGCGATCTATCTGGGGTAAAATTTTCAATTCGAACGATTTTACATTTCTGAGAAGTTGCCAGAGTCAAAAAAGAAAAAAATACATTTTCTTTCTCGATAGTTTAAAATCACATATAAAACTTATGTTGATGACTTGATATTTTTTCTAATTTTCCAAGTGCATATCTACATAATGGTACAGCAACTTCATATCGACCTCCAGATGCATATTGAATAACAAAATTATGTGCTGTGCAGTTTTTAATCTAACTATTGTCCATTTCAAAATACAATGTGTTCCAAGGTTTTTTGAATCGAAAGAGGAGACAAGGGGACGTATTTTTCTTCAATATAATATAAGACGAAATTCTCTTTAAATCAATCATTTCTGCAAAACATTACAAAAAGTGTATAAAAATGGTCTGTCGTTCAGATGAAATTTTCACAAGAAATGAGAAAATTTGGTTACAGATGATTTTATTTGTTCAAGATTAGGATGTTGGAAGATAACCATTCGAAGTATATCTTTAACTGTAGATATGAAGTTCTTCTATCTAGACCACATGTAACAACAAAAATTTTGTCGGAATAACAGATTGTTTTCAGGCATTTTTTGTAATGTTTTACAGAAATGATTGATTTTAAGATGATTTCGTCGTATACTGCATTGGACAAAAAATACGTCTCCTTCTCTTCTCTTTCGATTCAAAAAACATTGGAACACATTATATTTTGAAATGGACAATAGTTGTGATTCTGAGAAAAAAGAATGAACTCCACTATAGATAAAAGGCTACATGACTTCTTTATTTTGAAAACATATAAAAGACTTGTTTAGATTGATGCTAAATTCGAAATTTTGTTCCAACAAAAGTGATTATTCTTCTATCTCTTGACGAACTCTTCGTGAGCAATAAAGTAGTCGATAAACATTTCATTTCTGAAATTGTAATTATGACTGTAGATAAGTTTGACAAGCATTATCACAAAAGTAGCTTCGCAAACACTTGCGACACTACTTTCAATAACCTGAAAGTGATAAACGGTGATTCAAGGATGAAGACGTAAGCTTCTTAGTTAAGAGAAACCTATATTTTTCTTCTTACAAATAGTCAATTCGTAGCAATTAAACATAGATACATCTTACATAAAATGTATACTTTTTCCCATCGAGTAGTCAATTTATAAGATAGGAACATGCATCCTTGCTTTTTTTATATGAGTTCATTTTCTCCCCTTCATATTGAATTCAAGGGCAGAGAGGTAGTTTTTCTTTGTTATCGAACTGTCAATAAGTAAAGCTAGAGAGACACATTGCCTTTAATTGCTCATATGCGCTTTTTTTATGCAGCCAGTTCGTGACAATAGAAGACAGACGTCGCTTGTTTCAAAAAATGTAAATCTTTTCCAATGTCAGATAGATATTTATTGCTTAACACAATTCTTACTTATTAAAATATATGCATTAATTTCTCTCTTCTATCAAGTATATATTTTTTAACACAGAAATATTGCTCTCCAAGTAGTACTAATTCTGTTGTGGTAGGCGATACACCAAGGAGGCAAAAGCGTATTTCTAAGTATTTCCGTATTGCAGAAATACGTTTTTTACCCATCAGTCTCGATTCAGCTATTTGGCTTCAACGAAAAATTTCAAAAATACAATGATTCTATAATTTTGCTCAGTACTGTAGTGGTCATTAATCATCATTTAATCAGAAATACAAAGGAGTTTTTTCTGAAATAGGTAATGCTTTTGTCTGACTTCTTCGTAGAGTACAGATAGATTGAAACATGTAAACACATTGTATTAGATTTTTGCTTTTTACTTTATTTAAAACATTCGAAAACAATGCAGTAGCATACTTTTTTCCTGCTCTCCTATTGTAATAACTCAATCTTCTAACGTTTGAAAATCAATGCACAAAATATTTGTGTTCCGATTCAGAGCATCAAGTGCGGATGTAATTCTTGATTATAATCGCTGAAATAAAATAGTAGAAAAGTAAAACAATTCTGGATATTACCGAAGATCAAATGAGAAATTGAAGAAAGAACCTTTTTTTTTACAGTTTATTGCTTTTTTCATCTAGTATTAATTTTATAAGAATATTTTCTATCAAGTCATCTTGATAATCTTTATACGGGTAGGATAGTCGATCGAATTTCTTTTTCCATCGCCATATTGTTGGATCAATTAAGCTTACTTGTCTACCACCCATTTTATTCCGATAAATATGCCGTGCAGCTGGATGTGTTGCTTGAACGAATGCATATTGGAATCCTTTTGCTTTTCGAGCATGATCACACAAGATCCTAGTCATTCGACTAGCTAACCCTTGACCAGAATGTTCACCTCGAACGGCAGTAGCGATAATATTTAAAACTGAATTTGGCTTTAATTCTTGACCAAAGTCACGAGAAATAAACAAATGATTCATTTCATGACATAAATCACCAATTGCGAGAAAATGTGCAGAACTATCAGTATCGTATGGATGCTTGATATGTGCAAGAAACAGATCGCCAGCGATGGCTGTACCAACAATTTCTCCTGAAGGCTGATGTCGTGCGAGAAAGGACAATTGTTCATCAACAACATCGGCTAATAGTGGCCAAGCACGTTGGTGAAATAAAATGTCCGAAGTAAGTTTATCGAAAAATGTAGTTGGATTGTGTCCGATAAATTCTTCGGCCGTGAGTTGAGCACATAAACGTGCATCTCTTTCATTGTTGATTACTTCGATTGCATACTCATTGCTGGTGTCGTCTTCGTCGACCATCGTGCGTGATTGATGTGAATGTGGTAGAAAAGAAAAGAACACTTGATAAAAAAGAACAAATGTTCGTTATTTATGCCACGACGATGGTTTTTTTCTTTTGCTTTCTTTCTGTCTGTCTCTCTCTTTCTGCTTTTTTCTTCATTCTTTTTTTGCGTTCTATCTACATGCACTCGGTTCTCTTCCTTACTAACGTGATCTAATGAAAGTAGTCGTTAACTTGTATTATCATTAGTATACTTGCTCTTTGATACAGAGTGTGCTCGACTATGAAAGTAACGAAACCATCTGAAAAAAAAAGGATACCCAGAGTCTTCGTTCTGTCGCTGATGACGGTACGTCATGGTTACAAAACGTTATGAACATCTTCATACAATAAAATGTAATTGAATGGTAGATTGTAACATCGCTCATCTCGACCCTGACAATGATTATTTTTTCACATCAATCAATTATATGGTTGACCATTATAAGTTAGTCTTGTCGAGTAAGAACATTTGCATGATTATTTCATCGAAGAAAAACAGCAACGCATTTTCATGATGATACCGTGACTCAAGATGTATTATTTGTCGGCTATCCGAATTGATCAAACTGCGTCGATGTTACAGAGCAATTACACTGTATACCATTCGAAAAGTGAAAGAGCTTCATGTTGATGATGAATATTCGATTCGAGCGGCTAAGAGTGGATGGAGTGTGAGAGTGTACTTTGCTCGAATAATTCAACAGTCAGCAAA